GTTGGCTTGTACCGATATAACTGGGATATGGTTTTTACTGAGTTCAGTAAACTTTTGTTGGAAGATCAACCAGTTTTCTTGTACTGTGTGGCAATGAAAATCGGTGCAAAAAGTCGGGTAATAAGCGATAAGCTCGTTGTTTATGGCATCGCAGTTACCTTTACTATATAAGCGTATTGTTTTATTCCACAATTCTTGTCTTGGCAAGGTAAAGCTGAAGACTACGTGGATTATTTTATGGTCACTAATTTCACGGAAATAAGACATCGAAGAGAGGCTATTTGGGCTATTGGTTAGTATCATATCTAAAACGCTGGCCGAATCCTGCGTGACGCATGTTGGTTGCAACACAACCTGACTTAAATTGAAGTTAAAGCAAAGATCGAGGAACTCGTTTTCATTTTTGCTCGGTGACGAAGGCGGATTTCCAGCCCAGTTTATGAGAGGGAAGTTAAAATCCCCGAATGACAATACCTGAGCGTTAGTATATTTTGTCGTGAGTCTGTCCAGGACGCAGCTAAGCTTCTCAATAAAGCCTTTATCTGTTCGCGGTGGGCTGTAGCATACACCAAGTAAAATGGTATGAGGAGGGGAGCGAAAGAGTAGCCATAATATTTCAAGGTCACTGGGCGTATGAACAATGGTGCAAGGCAAGGTAATACTGACGGCATTGAGCACACCACCACCTCTAGAGTTTTGGCGATCTTTGCAAAAAATCTGAAAACCAGGTAGGTCATCCATGACCTCAGTGTCAGATACATCAGCAGTAAGCCATGTTTCAGTAAGTATTAACAAATTACATCCAGATGAGAGAACAATATTAGATACGATGTCGCGCTTAGGAAGAAAACTCCGTATATTAGTAAAAATTGCTGAAATAGTAGTGCTTGAGCGCATTGCTTTCGGGCGCTGAGTTGGCTGGCGGTGATGTAGCAATGGCTATCTAATTTCTTTAACACGTTTCTCAGCGTCGTCGTACACGTACTTCGTGGATCTTATAAACAAGGTTTTATAACGTAGAGAAAAGGCGACAGCTTTTTTCTTTGCAAATGCAAGAAGGTGTTTCCTGGCATTTTGTACGGCGCGGGAGTAGTCCTGACCAATTCTGTAGTTACTGCCTTTTAGCTTGCGTCTATTAGACAGGATTTTTTCTTTGGTTTTGTAGCGAGCAAAATTCGCAATTATGGGGCGGTTATGGTTAGTAGAGTGGCGGCCAAGTCGATGCGCACGCTCAATATCTTCGGGAACTACGGGTAAACCGAGGTGATCTGAGCAAAAGCGAATAAGCTTTTCTTCTATCTGTGGGGCAGATTCTGAGGCACCTGGGTCGGGAATACCGAAGAAGATTAGGTTGTTGTGGCGGGCTCGATTTTCTGCGTCATCGATCCGCGATTCTATGTCTGAGATTACACGGGTTGTCTCGGTGGCAGCAGATGTGATGGTTGCGACCTGTTGTTGCAGTGGTTCAATGTGTTGACAGTGGCTCTCAATGGTATTCATTCTTCTGCTAAGTTCTGCTATAGTACTGTTAGTTTCGGCAAGTTTCCTTTTTAGACCCTTCAGTTCGGCTATTAGCTGCGATTGCCCTGCTGAGAGTTTTTTCAATTCAGCTAATATAGAGTTGGATTCCGGGCCGGGGTTAGTTTCAATGTCGCCCGACAGTAAGAGAACGGTACGCGAGACATCGATACACTGCTCAATAATCGATAATAGACACTGGGGGCTCGGCAGCAGCACCAAAAACAAGTTGCTCGATTTCTTAGAGTAAAGACTCAAAGGCTGACTAACCTGCATGTTGAAAAGTAGCAGTTTAGGCGACTGTCTCGTGGCACAGCCGCCGAGCCCACAGGTGGGCGCGCCAGGGTGTTGTTCTTTTATAGTCGATGTGGCCATTGATGTTGCCGACGTAGGCTTCTCCCAGGTGGCAACGGTTGCAAAATTCGTGTCAGTTGGCGTTGGCAGAAGTGCAGGGGTAATTAGCTTATCAGCTGGAAGAGTGCTCGAGATGCGGCCAAAGAATGGTTGCGCACAAGCAGGAGGTGGGTGCGAGATGGCTGTGGTAGCGGGCAGAGCTGCGCAGATCACTGCGACGGCAAAGACCTGCATGTTGAAAAGTAGCAGTTTAGGCGACTGTCTCGTGGCACAGCCGCCGAGCCCACCGGCGGCTGTGCCATGGACACACATTGCTTCACTCTTCTGCATCCAGAAGGTGATGCTACCCCACGAAAATAGAGCACAGTGAAAGTGTGATATAAAAGGTGTGTTCGTGTAGCCTCCTTCAAATGTTTGGCACTGGCACTGTGGATTAAATACCCGCCAGCCATCGTCACGGACCAAGTGGTCATGGGTTCGACTTGTGTTAGCACACCCCTTTCTTCCTGCTTTTAATTTCTTTGCAATATGATGGTTTTCATTTTTCAGACGTATTTTTGTGAGAGAAATATACCATGATAGTATTTTTGGACCCCCGGCATAAAATACTTCAGTGTTAAAAGCCCGAGTCACCACTGTGATCATGGTGGTCACTGGTGGAATAGTGGGGCCGGTGCTAGAGTAATCGCCAATATGATCAGTGAGCTTCGCTATCTTCTCTGATGGCATCTCACCTGTAGCAGCCAACAAAGACAGGAACAAGGTTCTGGAGCAGTTCTTGCAAAACAAGTGAAAGCAGCGTATGGCATGCTGAGTATGGCACGCTGTCCTCGAGTGGCTGGCACATGAGGTGCAGCATTTGCAACGGTTGTCTGTCCCCGAGCCCTTTTAGTACTGAAGATTTTCTTCTGGTGCTTTATAACTGTGTTTTGCATTGGCATAATCGCTTTATTCGTATGCATGTGGAACACTCAAAGCGTCGTCAATATAGTCCACAACTTTTTGGGCAGCATATTTTGTCCATAATAATTTGCCAAAATGGTGGCAGCTATATGTTGGAAACCGTTTCCATGATTATAAAAAGGGCTTGATTCTTGTTTCCGGCTATTGAATCCAGTACTGTCCTTTATTTGCGCACAGCAGTTTACCTTGAAATGTGAACTCACCCAGCTGCATGTTTTACTGAATTCAATTGCTGTGGTTGCTGTCATGCTCATGTTAGCAGCCATCACATCCGGGTCACCAAGCTGTAGGCATGCAAGATACGTCATTTTTTTTTAATGCGTCAATTTTTTGGGCTTGTTATATCTATTTTTTGACAGTGTCCATCATAGCTGACTTGCTCGCCTATGCGTGTTAACACATATCGCATCTCTACAGCACATAACTGTTGCTTCTACAAATTGGTTAGCATTTTTTGATTACCGCGCATGGTGTGACTTATGCCAATACATGTTTGTCTTAACCACAATCTCAACTTGGCATAAAGGCCACTGTGGTCTAGTGGTTATGGTGCACAAGTTGTGGCATTGAGTTTCGGCTGTGGAGAATACTTGACACCCTTTGGTTTAGCTGCATCTTAAAAAACGCCAGGACTCTCCATTGCTGCATCTCGCATAATCATATCCTGGGGATATTCAACTCCATCAGTTATTGTTATTATTTTTGGCACAACAGCGTCATTATTGGCTTGACGTGCTGGGGCAAGCTCATGCAATGCGACTGCATGGGTAGCGCAGCACCTAAATGTATGTAATTTATGTTTTTAGGTATTGCAGTGTCATATTTGTCGGAACTTTTGTGCGTCATTCCATAGGAGAGAATTAAAACAGTGTAAACATGCAAGCCTTCATGATTCCTGGAAGAAATCTCGGGGGTTGCTGACAAAGCTACGTGGTGTGCTGCACATGGTCTTCACTCTTAGTGTGGGTTTCCAAGCAGAGAAGACATACACACCCCAATATAACGAAATATAGGTTATGACCAAGTAAATGAAAAATACTATTGGAATAGATTTATTGTACGATTATATTAAATTATTGGATATAATCAACTTATTTTTCTCTAAGATGCAACTTTGTTATAATGAGGTTTGAGTGTGTTGTTCTTATGTGCAAGTATGCTTGAGCAACACCAGACACTTGCGATTCTCAAACTTCGATTACTCAGTGTATTGCAGTGAAACTGTGGGTTGAGCTCTATGCAAAAAGTCATACACAACGACTGCTATTTCTTAGAATTGTACTTTGTCTTTCACGTGTTGTAAGTTTATCTCTGAAGCAGGGAGATTTCGTGAACTAGGAATGTGAGGTGTGTCAGTGTGTTTGAGTGGTTGGTGCATGCCAGAAGAACAGTGCTGAGTTTATGATGAAAGTGTCATTAACAGCTGCTCGTGGTGGGTAAGTTGATCTTGTAAACTTGTATGGTTTAATGTGCTACTTAGAATCGGAGGAAGGAGCAGAAATATTGGAACTTGTTGGACGCTGAGAAGAGAGCTACTGATCTTGTAAAAAGCTTGAATCAAAGAGGCAAGAGCACTTGAAAGATCGATAAGACTCTCTGTACTGTGGCGAGGAATGGAGTCTCTGAAAGAGCAGAATGGCAAGTGAAATGGCTGTTCTTTTTGTGGATGAACGGGAGTTACTGTTTTTTCCAACAGTATTTTACATTATAAGAATCCTGACGTAGTATGCCAGTATGGCTTTCAGTTTATGTAGGTGCACTGCTTTTTTACCACTCAAGGGCTCACTTAGAGTTTTCTTGGCAGGCTTGCTGTTCAGTGAATAAGGTTAGAATTATAGGAAAAACGTGTAATTTACAAAAATTAAATTGGTAGACATACTGCTTGTAGAGAAAAGAAGCAAAAGTATGAAAACTTGAAATGCAGCACTGGAAATAAAAATCCCTATTATAAACAGTACCGAGCTGCTGCATCTGTCTGCTAATAACTGTGCTTTTTTTTTTTTTGTCGATACCACACTGCATAACATTAGCAGTGAGGCTGTTTGGGCTAGTTAGTTTTATGCGTCAAGACAAGTGCTTGTCCTGTTGTCTCTTAGCGCTGTGCCACAGATTGAAACATGCATGATGCAGTCGTCACAGCTCCTCAGTGTGTCTTATGTGTGCAGCCACCTCAAGCAGCCAGCTTGAGGAGTTCCAGAAGGAGGCTAGCTCGCTGGAGCTGCCGGAAGAGCACTCTCCTCGCATCTGAGTGCCTCCACATGGCAGCTATTCGGGACTTCTTCAAGAAGCGAAAGGCCGAAATCAAGTTCAAGCAGGCTGGCCCCGGCAGGCGACTGAATGCTGACGATACACCGCGAATGCATGGCCCCGCACCAGGACAGAGCCAGCCACGAAGACCTCCGTCAGAAGGCGCACAGCGAGCGGCCGCAGCCGCCCTCGCACGCCTGGAGCAGAAACAGGTCAAGACTCATCCTAACTGGTCAGTACCTTCTCATAGAGTCTACGAGGATGACAATGCAGCTAATTACAAAAACAAAGTGTGTGCCTGCCAGTCAAAGGTCACTCACAAATAAAGTTCAAGGACTCGAAGTAGAGGTTGAATAATTTATAACTGCTTAGAAAGTGAAAGGTGTTTCAAAAAGCATATTTTTTTTTAAGCGTCACTGTGATAGTGGCGTTTGCAGAGCAGTCAATGTCATCCTCATCTGCGTCTGCTGCTTCTCCCCAGCTCTGTCCAGATAGATGCTTCCCCTACAAGGTTTGTCTCGTTTCCGAAGAACCATAACAGAATGGAACGAATTGCTGCTACTAACACGAGAAAGCACCACTGCAGATGAATTTCAGAATAACCTTGCATGAAATTAAGGAAATGTACGCATGTTTTCATGCTTTATTTGTGGATGTCTGAAATTATTTTTAAGCATTCTGTCTTTACTTTTGTATTGTTTCGCTTCATGTATGTACCGAGTATTCTCCTTATGTCTGGCTGTGTATCCTTGTACGTAGTGCTCAGTAATGGTTTGCACTACTGCTTGCGGACATCGCATATATGGTGTAGTTAAATTTTATCAACCTACAAACAGACTATTTCTTTGTGTACGCCTACATTTGTTTTTTCTTTATTGTTATAAGTGCCTTTTGTTATTTATTATGTAATGTATGTTTTGTAAATAGCTACTTTTGAACCACCCTGTAACGGCCGACAGGCCAACAGTATGGGTAAATAAATAAAAAAGTAATACATTCCCAGCTTGGAAACCTATGGCTTGGGAACCAGCTGACTCTAGTGATCCTTCATGTGTAAGTGCTCTGTGGCACACCTTGTGAACTTGGTGGGAATCATTGCAGAAAACCTGCAGGAGAAGCAGAAAATCAGAATGTGAAACAGCGAGTGTTTTTTGCTGCAGTGCACAGAGATTTGCATTTTCAAACCAAATTTGGCTTAATACAGCTGTGAAAATGATGTCACTGAAAATAGTGATATGTAGTAATTTGTTTTTCAGTAGGCATAATATGGAGCTCACTACAGGTTCAAGGGCCAAAGGCAACAGCCTGACAAAAGCCCCCATTCGTCAGCAGTTCCTGACAGCACAGAAACTTCAACATGAGCACGCTGCAAAAAATGGCAATGTATTGCTTTCTGAGTAATGGGCAACAAGCAACTTTAGTGGTGGAAGTACTGTTCCAATTGCTCCCAACTGCTCTTAAAGAGAAACGCTGCTCCATGCTGGTTCAAAGTGCACTATTTGCTAGTAAGTGCTCCAAACCTGCTCCAAAATGGTGTTGGCAAACTAAAAAGAATGAAGTTGAACCATGGGACCATTCAGCGAGTCTAAATAAAAATAAAACAAGCTGTATACTGTCATATCTAGTATACAGCTCGTATAGTAGCTGTATACTAGAATATTCAGAATGCTACATGTACTAGCATTTTCTATATATACCTGTATAATATCTGTATACTAGAATATTCATAATGCTACATGTACTAGCATTTTGTATATATATCTGATATACAGTTGAACCCCACTACAATGAACACCGCTTCAAGGAAATTTCCGCTACAACGAAAAATTCAGTTTCTCATCAGCAGACCATGAGAATCAATAGATAAATATTGTTGCCACAATGAACACTTTTTCTTCTGCCGTCCCGCTTCAACGAAATTTCACGATGCGATTGCAGGCTCAGATATTTATTGCTTTACAGTAAACACAACCTTTAACATTTTGATGCATTTTCAGAATCTGAAAATAGTTGACGAAGTTTAAAACACAAAGTCTAAACATGCACCCCCAGAAACCGCCGCTATTCAGCAAGCATGGGCACCGCCATTGCTCGATTGCGGTGGCAAGGAGACTGTCTTGCTTTTGCCTGTGGATTGCTTAAGATCCGCAGGTGATCCGAAGCTGAAGCTCAGGCGCTCAGTTTATGGTTTCCTTCACGCAGCTGGTTGGTGCAAGCGCAGAACGATGCCTTTTCTGACGCCAGTGCTTATCATTTTGTTCGCGCCTGGCCACTGGGGTAACTAATCAGAGCGGCTGTTCCTTTGTATTATCACTAAAATCGGGTATCCACAAGTGCCCCGTCGCAGTGGTCTAGCTGCTAAGGTCGCGGGTTTCTATCCCACAACCCGCAGGTCGCGGGATCAAATCCTGGCTGCGGCTGCTACATTTTCGATGGAGGCGAAATTTTCGGAGCCCTCCACTACGACATCTCTCATAATCATATGGTGGTTTCGGGACATTAAACGCCATATATCAATCAATCAATCAAAGCTATCCGCAAGTGGTGTATAATAAGAATGGCATAGAATAAGGCAAAAGTCACAGCTCACGATAGATACCCTGCCTCCGTCTCGGCGTTGTCGGATACACTTTGACGCCGGACATCTGCTGGTGGTAAATGTGTTAACGCAACTGTTTGGTTCATTAACTAAAAGCGTTTGTAGGGGTTGTTTCAGCATGCTTTTCACCAATCCCACGAGGCTGCCCCCAGACCTCTGGGACTGTGCATATGGTCACATGCACACTCCCAGAGGCTTCTCGGAGCTTACGCATCCCATCCTCTAACTTTCTCTGAAGGTTCTGATCCTTGCCCTTCAACACATCCTTGAGCCCAGCATGAATAATGACGAGATTATCGCCCTCCATGCTGTTTTTTACAACATCCTGAGCTTTGGTCAGTGCATCCACCATGCTCTTCCCTGACTATGCCTCCACCCTGACTCTCCCATCTTCCTTCACTGTCTTGAAGACGCCATCCCTAACCCTGGCCACGTTAGAGTCCCCCACCACTAGGACCCTTCTACGCTCCAATTGCTGGCTTCCTGTTTGTGATGGCGCCCTGTTTGCTTCACCTGTTTCTATCTCTGCCGTCTGTCCTATGTTTCTGCCCTGCTTGAAGACTGCTGTGCCACCGAGCTGTATGTTCTCGGAGCCTCCGTGCTGTGGCCAGACACTGCGGCCCTCTGACCTCCCTTCTCGCCTGTTCCTTCCCGCCTTTCGTCTCACACCGCTCGGGGCCGGAGCAAAGCGCCATTAGTTCCTTTACCGGCTGCTCTAGCTCGGTCCGCCCTTCCCGTTCTTTTCGAAGGTCGCCCTTCATTTGCTCTAATAGGCTGGTGGTAGCCTCCTCCCGCTCACGCGACGCTCCTAGCTGTTTTTGGAGTTCTATCCTCTGCTCCCGTTCTGCCCTAAGCTCCCCCTGAAGCGCCTTGATGCTAGCCTCCATGTGCTGCACGGCCGCCTTCAGCGCCTCGCACAGCCTGCACATGAAGCTCGCCTTCTGTGCGTTGGCTTAACTGGTGAATGCTGTTTCATCTAAGTAGCACCAGCGCTTGCATTCTTCGCACTGCACCAGCTCACTCTTGCTCGTGGTTTTCCTAGCCTCCTTAGCCATCGCCCGCCCGCCGTTTGTGCAAAGCGCTATCGCGTGGACAACACCAGAAGCCTAACCGGCCGAGTGCTTCTTATTGCAGAAAAATCCAAGAGATGGCGCTCACCAACGCAGCCGCAAACTTAGCAGGATGAGCATGATCTATAAAGGAAAGGGGGACAAAGATGACATAAACAACTATCGTCCTATAACAGTGACATCAGTATTCTACAGGCTGGCGATGCAGAATATAAACGAAAGCCTTCAGGCATGGATAGAGGATGAGGGAGTGCTGGGGGAACTGCAGAATGGGTTTCAGAAACAATCTGTTCTCACTGACGCAGTGCATCGAAATAGCAGAAAAGGAACTCGGGCCTCTGTGGCTAGCATTTTTGGATATCAAGGGAGCGTACGATAAGGTGGTTCAAGGGGACTTGTGGGGAATACTAGACACACTGGGTGTGGAAGATGGAGTCACTAATCTTTTAAAGGAAATCTATAAAAGTAACAAGGTAGTTATAAAGTAGGGAAAAACAGGTAACCAAGACCACAGAGGTGAAACGGGGACTTTGGCAGGGGTGTCCTCTGTCACCCTTGTTATTCACGATGTAACTACAAGGATTAGAGGCCAAATTAGAGGGATGTGGACTTGGCTTCAACCTCTCTTTAGTCAAACAAGAAAAACTCATTGATCAGGCACTACCAGCATTAATGTACGCAGATGATATAGTGCTAATGGCCGACAACAAAGAAGATTTGCAGAGATTGATGGACATTTGCGGTAATGAGGGAGATAGGTTAGATTTTAGATTCAGTAAGGAAAAATCAGCAGTCATGATTTTTAATGATAACGAAGGTAGTGAGCTTAGAATACAGGAAGTCATGCTAGAGATAACAGATAAATACAAATATCTGGGCGTATGGATAAGCAATGGGACCGAGTACCTAAGGGAACACGAAATATACATGACGACTGAAGGTAACAGGAATGCAGTAGTGATGAAAAATAGGGCACTGTGGAATTACAATAGGTATGATGTTGTGAGAGGAATATGGAAAGGGGCCATGGTTCCTGAACTGACGTTCGGCAATGCGGTCTAGTGCATTAGATCAGAAGTTCAAGCAAGATTAGAAATTAAGCAGCATGGAATAGGTAGGCTTGCTTTTAGGAGCTCACGGGAATACACCAAATCGGGGAGTACAAGGTGATATGGGATGGACATCATTTGAGGGCAGGGAAGCTAGTAGCAAGATAAAATTTGAGAAGCGATTGAGAGAAATGGGGGAGGAGCGTTGGGCTAGGAAGGTTTTCAGCTACTTGTACATGAAGAATGTCGATACAAAATGGAGGAAGCGAACCAGAAAATTGACTGGTAAATACTTAGAAAACAGCCAGTGGCCAAACCAAAAAGAACTATCGGTTAAGAAGAAAGTGAAGGAAACGGAGACATGTGGAGAATTGACATGATTAAGAAGTCCGCACTAGAGATCTATCGAGTTTTTAAGCAGGAAATTGCCAAGGAAAGGATCTATGATAGTACTCGGGGTAGTTCTTTACTGTTTGAGTCCAGCACGGGGGTATTGCGAACCAAGACATATCGG